GGATTGCAATAATGAGCCACCAAGCTCGTCTTTTTGCATGGGTACTGGGGATAAACCCTAGGTCTTCGTGCTTGTATGGCAAGCACTTACTGACTGAGCTCTCACCAGTCCCCATGAAGCTAGCTTTCTTTACATTCTATCTCTCGAGCTTCCCATTGAAATCTCTGGCCCTGTGGTAGATTTCTGACAGAAGATGTTACTGTATTACCAGATTTAGGATAGCATTTTTCAAATCATGATTGGTAGAACATTTAAGTGAGTTTTGTTTTTGTTTCCGTTGGTGGTTGGATTGTCATCTGTTGACTATTTCGAGGAGGGACAGGTAGGGTAGATCCTCTCTTTGCAGCGTGACTGTTTTCTTTTAGGATTCACTTTGGCCAGATCACCAGCAACCAGATGCTTGTGCCCGTGATAGAGAAACTAAAAGAAACAACTATTTCAAAAGTCAGACAAGTCCAGGTAAGTGTCTGTTGTAGACACCGTAAGGTACCATATGCTGGGCAATACCAAACAGACATAAATCTGTGCTTAGGGTAAACTTTCTGTTGTCATTTGCACAAAGAGGATTTTTAAAACACTAAAACCAGAAGTGCTTGGTGAGGCAAGGAATCAAGGCAGTACCCACTGAGAAGCTGCTGTATTGACTAAAGTTTACTGTCTTGTGTTCTCCTCTAGGATGTCATTGGCTTCAATATGGCTGGTCTCGATTATCTTAAGAGAGAATGTGAAGCAAAGAGTGAAGTTATGTTTTTTGCAGAAGCTACTAGTCACTTGGAAGAGAAGAAGAGAAAACGAAAAAACAGGAGAAAGATGATTTTGACACTGACTTAGAACTGGAATGTTGTGTCTTTTCCTGCTTCTCCTCCAAGGAGCGTATGCATAAACTAAGCTATCATGGAGTTGGCAACATCTTAAAAATACCAAAAAAGAAGATCATGTTGTAGATCTTGGGGTACAGATGTCAGCTTTGGCTGAAGAAACCCAACATGGCTATGAGTTCTGTCTTCCATCTTTTGAAAAGGACACATTTAGTTTAAAAATCTGTATTTTTCAGAGTTGGACCTTTAAATTGTAGCAACAAGCAAAGGAATATTTTTTAATTGTGTATATGATTCATTCAGAAGTGTCTCATATTTATGGCAGATTATTTGTATTAGAGCTTTTCCATATAAGATAACCATGTATCATTGTCTTCTAAAGGAAGTACCATGGACTGTGGGGCTGAAAGGGATGAGGCGATGCCTAGAGAATGCAAGTGCAGGTTGTTGAGTCTGCATATAAGATTATAATGCTGTTTATACTTTGGGGAATGCAACAGCTTTTTCATTAAAACTACTTAAAATGACTTGCTGGCTGTCTGAATAATAGGGGAGGGCTGTGGTGTATATATATGCAAGTCTGCATGGTAGGAATTTGGGAGGTAGGGATGTCTAGAAAAAGATTGACTCAGATAACTCTGGACTTAGGCTTTTCTTAGTGGTGAATTTCTCAATTATTAATTTAGACTCCTTGCTATGGTCTAGTGACTAGACTCTAGTCAGATTTTTTTTATGTCTCCTTAACGACCAGAGAGAAGGGCATACTGAGTTTATCTTCCAAAATTTCTATCTAATGGGATCTGTAAATGTGACCTCAAAAGCATCTATCAATTTGAAGTCATTTGGGATGAGGATAGCCTCTAAATGAATTAATCCTTAGAAGGGGTGACACAGAAATTCACAGTAAGTTGTACTATGTGAACAAGGCAAAGGATGAGTGATGCACCTGTGTTAATACTTACATCTAGACACACAGGGAAGGGCAGTAGTAAGAAGCATCCCCAGAACTTCCAGAAGGAACCAACTCTGCTACTGTTGGTACCTGGAGTTAAAACCTCTGGCCAACAAGCTATGAGAGATGATTGTAGCGATCTGTAGTGCTCTATTATGGAAGTCTGAGAACTAGACAAGTGGCATTTTATTGCCTTTGTCTGTCATTCTTATGGGCATAGAGTAGAGCTTTCAGAGAACTTAGGATGTGTGACTGAGGAACATAGAACAGCACATCCTCGGAGTCCTGGGAGCTAGATGCTGACAAGATTTATAAGAATGTAAAGTAGTGCCACTGCTAAAGTTTTGTTTAAGAAAAGTGATTTTATTTGTTTGTATATTTTTGTTTGTATATTTACTGATTTATATCAGAAAGAAATCAGGGAAATAACACCTTTTACAGTAGCCTCAAGTGATATAAAATATCTTGAGATTATTTTAACCAAGCAAGTAGAAGACTTGTATGATTAAAAACTTTAAGTCACTGAAGATATCAGAAGATGGAAAGCTCTCCCTTGCTCATCAGTAAGATTGATGCAGTAAGAATGGCCATCTTACCAAAAGCAATCCACAGATAAAATGCAATGCCCAGAAAAATTTTAAAACAATTTTTCATAGAAACTGAAAGGAAAATTTTCAGCTTCATAAGGAAACACACAAAAAAAACAAAGATAGCTAAAACAATCCTGAATAATAAAAACTACAGGAAGTTTCACTGTCCCTGATTTCAGATTGTACTACAAAGCTCATACTATAGTAATAAAAACAGCATGGTATTGATACAAAACCAGACACATCGAACCATGGAATCTAATTGAAGACGAAGAATAAATCCACACACCTATGGATACCTGAATGTCTATAAGCCAGAAACATACTGGGGGAAAAAAGCACCTTCTGCAAATGGTGCTGGTCAGATTGGATGTCTGCATGTAGAAGAACTCAAGTAGATCTATACTTAACACCCTGTACAAAACTCAGCTAATGGATTCAAGACCTCAACATAAAACCAGACACACTAAACCTGATAAAGTAGGGAATAGCCTTCAACCCACTGATACAGGAGACAATTCCCTGAGCAGAACATCATTAGCACAGGCACTAAGATCAACAATTGGTAAATGGAACCTTGTGACACTAAGAAGCTTGTGTATGGCAAAGGACACTGTCATTCAGACAAAGTGGCAGCCTACAGAATGGGAAAAGATTTTTACCAACTATCCAGTAGAGGACTAAAGTATAAAATATATAAAGAACTCAAAAAAAACTAGACATCAAGAAAATAACTCAGGGCTAATGAGATGCCTCAGTGTTGCTCTTCCAGAGGTCCTGAATTCAATTCCCAGCAACCACAGGGTGGCTCACAAACATTTAGAGGGGGATATCCTCTACGCCATGTGGGTATACATGCAGTAGGGTACTCCTACATTAAATAAATAATAAGATTTAAAAAGGAAAAAAAAAAAAGAATCTCCAGAGTCCAGGCTATAGTCAAGATGTTAGGTTGCCCTCTGCAAACTGATAGCCAGGCCCACTGCTGAAGGCAACAGCTACACAACTCATTGAACACCGAGAAGCCAAGCTGTTGCCCACATAGAGCCTTCACTCCCACAGTCTAGTGTCTTTGGTACAGGAAGGTACTCTGCATGCTACCAAGAGAGAAATGTAAACACCAACCCAGCCACAAACGTTTGATCAACAGTAGTGTCCTGCCTTCAAGAGATGTAGGCAATGGCACAAAGCTTATAGGAGTAACCAACCAATATCTGCTTTGACCTGAGTCCCACCCCATGGGATGGAACCCATACTTAACAATGTTTGGGTGATCAAGAACCAGGGACTTAGGAGAAAACCAAATACTACTGTTCGAAAAAAAAAAAAGCAACTAAGTGAGTCCTAGTTACTTAGAGATCAGTCCCTTGCTCAGCCACTGTCAGAGAAGCTTGCTTCCTCCTGCAGCAGATGGGAACCAATACAGAGACCCATGGGCAGACATGCAGAGAGTGAGAAACCTAGGAACATTCAGTCCTAAGTGGGATATCTCTGTCAACGCCCCTCTACCCCCACCAAGGCTCAGGGGACCTAGTGGAAGAAATGGAAAAGAGAGTGTAAGAGCCAGGGAGGATAGAGGGTACCAAGAAAACAAGGCCCTCTTAGCACGATCAAATCACATAAGAACTCAGAGGAAAAAGCAGCATGCACAGGACTCTTACAGGTCTGCACCCGGTCCTCTGCCTGTATATTATGGCTTTCAGTCTAGTGTTTATGGGATTTCTGAGTGTGCAAACAAGTGGGTCTCTAATTTTTGTGCCTTCGCTTCTACTCGTTTCCTTCTGTTTGTCTTGTCCAACACTAATATCATAGTTCTATTTTATTATTATCTGCTAGAAGTGTGGCTTTTTTCTAATGAGAGGCAGAAGGGAAGTGAATCTATATGGGGTAGGAAGTGGAGAGGAACTAAGAGTAGAGGGGAAACCATAATCAGGATATTTTATGTGAAAAAAATATTTTTTAATAAAGGTGGGGAAAGTGTTTACATTACGAAGTGACCTTGACTATTTGGGGTGGAATGTCATGGTTTGAATATGTAACATTCCTCGGAGGACCATGATTTGATTGGTTAGCCCAAGAAGGTGGCACTGCTTTGGGGGATGTGAAAACTTCCTAAGGTGGGGCTTTGCCAGTGGAAGTCAGTCACTGACTGCTGTTCTTGGGCTCGTCCTGACCACTTCCTGTCTCTGCCTCCTGAGCCACTGTGTTATAAACTGAACTCCTCTAGCATGCTGCTATGATCATCATTGTCACCTTATGATGTACTGAAATCTCTGAAGCTGGGCAAGATAAATCTGTCCTCTACAAAAACAAAAGAAAGCAAAAACCTGATTTTAAAACAAAACCAAGTATTTTATATACTACGTTCATTATTTAAATATAATTTAAATTTCCCAGTTCTAATTCTTTTTTGGTAAGTATTGATAAATTTTACCCATTTATTTACCATAAATAAAGCCCTTGGAACCAACAGTACAGTCATACAAGGGGGTCTTGAGTCCAAAATGTATGAAAACAATGGATTTAAATGTAAATTCTGAAAACATTTGCCTTTTTTGACTGTAAGAAATCAGAGGAAAGCCTGAGGCCTGAGGTCTTAGGTGTGAGTGGTTGACTACATGACATTCATTACTTACAGATCTAATGATGAGTGGCCTTTTGAGACATGACGACTCCAAGTGCAGAGGAGGAGATTGTGGAAGTCCTGAAGACCATGGGATTTTCTTTTCCCTGGGGAAGATCTTTTGATCGATTGTCATAGCTGCTGCTTGTTAAAACTGGTAAAACACTCATTAAGGACTATAGCTTCACAGTTAAATGATCTTTTATACAGACAAAAATAACATTTTAAAATCAGAGTCTCCAGCAGCATTAGCTCACAGTAGGTACCTGCTGGTAAGGCAAATCCTGCCCACACAGGCTTGGGTACAGGACCTTGATCCTTGTGTTTTAGCACAGTGTCTTCTTCCACAGTGTAATTCTTTGCCAATGTCCTGGCCTGTCTATAAGAGGCCATCACCACCAAACCTGACACCATGTCAACATGCTGATTTCATGAAGTTTTGGTAGGGATAGGTCTAGATCTGGGGACACTGGCTGTGAGCTATATCCTTAGGAAGTGAAAAATCAAACTATTTTCCTGTCTGTCTAACTGTAAGTGACCATAGTGTCTTGCCTGTTAGACACACTACCTTTGAAAGAATAAATGGGGAAATGAATCCACTCCCATTTTTACAGAATGGAAGCTCATCTGACACATCTCCCAGCTGTCACCTCATCTCAAAATTTCAGTCATCTTCCTTCTCACTAACGCTAGCCCTGGGTCTGTACTCTTGAGCTCTCTCTATTGGGATAGTGCCACATTAGTTACATTTAGCCATAGTTAAGATGCGTCCCTTCTCCATTCTCAAGCCTACAAACAGTCTACAGTAAACAAGACGACTGTCCTCTGTCGTATCAAGGTAACATACTCTATTCCTTTGACCCTTCTTCCTCCTCTCTAAACAGATCCCAGATTTCTCTTTCCCATACATTCAGACATCAGCAATGTAAAGTTCTTGAAAACTTTCTCTTGCCAGCTCTTAATTTCCAGATGAGATCTCATTACTACTAAGCTCTGCAGTTCAGTTGCTGGCTCTAAAATGGATTTAAGTCATCTGCTTACATCCATCTTAATAAGTTCCACTTTGGCTCTTTCCTCCTTACCCAGCATCATTCATGTCCCCTGTGTCTGTTATCCCCCATGTATAGTTCTTGGCCTAAGGAGTAACTAAGGAAGACCATTTTGTACTATCATTTCTGTACTATGTATCATCATTTCTGTACTATGTGTGGTTACAAAAACTGAGCTTTAAAGGATATTTGCTTCCACAGGTAAGAACAGAACATCATGCTCTGTCATGATTTCAATAGTGTGGGAGATGTGTGCTGAGCCCTTGGCACCGTCTTCTCCAACAGCCATGGCAAATAGCTCTACCTTTAGCTCTGCTTGCAAACCAGCAGCCACCTGTCAGACATCAAAGACTGGTTTTTAAACTGATTTTGACAATATATCTACATGCTTTAAGCTTCAGTTTTCTCATCCATAAATTTGGCACTAGTAAATATAACCACATGTAGGGAGTGAGTGAAGTCCTGAGTAAAGATATATTACTGCCATGAGCACGGCCATGACAAGCCCTCCAGGACTCAGACCCACTGGAAAGTCATAGCCTTTTGCTGCCCCTTGGTCAGTGCCTGAGTGTTAACAGTAAGTGTAGGAAGCAGCTACACCAGCTATAGCAGCTTCCTTTTCCAGGCTGTCTACAGCCTGAGACCACTGCCCTATAGAAAACTCCAAAGCAAGACTAGCTAAGCCTGTCTCTGTATCTCCACTACCAAATGATCCCAGCTTTTCTGGATGTGTATCTATCCTTTATTTCCTTGTCACCCCAGTGCCCACATTTCCACAGCCCAGCTGTGTGTGTCAGAACATATACATTAGAATTATTTAGAGTAGTGTAGAGTTCCAGGAAATAAATGAGACTGATGACAAACTTCTGAAGTGTGTTAGAGTTTTGTGTCTGAAATATCCCCAGAGTTTATATAGCAAAAGTTTGGTGTCAGCCCATGGCACTATCAGGAATTGAGAGAATCTTAAGGAAGCCAGGTGGTGGTGGTACATGTTTTTAATCCTAGCACTCAGGGAGGCAGCTCTGTCAGTTTGAGGCCAGCCTGGTCTACAGAGTGAGTTCCAAGACATCAAGAGCTTCACAGAGAAACATTTATGGATCTGGGCTTAATGAAAAGTAATGAGATCATTGAAGGGGATATGGCTCCTCCTGTTTCTCTGCTTTCCGGCAGCCATCAAGAGAACAGTTTTGCTTTCCCATGTGTCTCTGCCCTGATATTCCACAGGCTCCCAAAACACAGGGCCAAGTGATTACAAAGTGACATCCCTGAAGCTGTAAGCCAGAACAAACCTTGTTTTCTTTTAGACTAACTGATACAAAGGCAAAAACCCAGGTGCTGTGTGTGTGTGTGTGTGTGTGTGTGTGTGTGTGTCCTGGACTAAATGACAGGACATTGGAAGTAAAAGGAAACTATTGTGATACCCATAACAGATGCCAAAGTTCTCTTTCCCATATTCTCAAACATCAGCGGTGTGTAGAGGACACTTGAATTTTTTTCTATCTCTGACTCTTCTTGAACCGAGATCTCTGTTTAATTTCTGACCTCAACCCTTAAGTCATATCCTTATATCCATCCTACAATCCAGAGTTGTGTGATTTCTTGAGGGTTAGTAGTGAGTTTCTGTATGCTGGCTGATAAAGGTAGATTTCATATAAGAGAAATATGAATTTAATTTAAGAAACTTGATGAGTCTCCTATTAGTTGGTCTCTGGGATTCTACCACAGGCTGTGGAGTGTGATGGAGCCAGTAGAGGGAGGCAGAATTAGTGTAGATGCCAAACTGCTTAGTCTGAAAGAGAAGAAGAGGTTTGTACCAACAAAGAAGAAATGCAGCAAGGAATCCTGCTGCTTGCCTTCTTCTTGGAAGGCACACTAGCCAGGAAAGGGAGAGATGTTTATGATTCTAAGCTACCTGTCCAGGAAGCTGGTTAAAAAGCAGACTTGGGAACAGTTATCTAAAATAATAAATAAGTAAATCACACACTACCACATGGAGAGCAATTAGATACAAATGAAAAAATTGAAATACAGTTTTATAAATAATAAAATTGAAAAATGTTTTCTTTTTTTCAACAGTGTAGGGGTATGAGTGCTGGAGCAGATCCTGACACTGTTTCTGAAAGTCCTGGGCTTGGTCCTACAAGCCCAGCAATCAGAAGGGCTGGGTAGTGGTGAGAATCCACAGGGAAGCTGGAGTAGTGCCCCACTGCTACCCGAGACTGGCACATTCTTTCAGTGCTGGCAACCAACCAAGCTGAACAGTGGTTGGTTAGATTTACCTAGACAGAAGACAATGGATTATATATATATGTTTTTTGGTCAGAGCCAAAATCTACCTTCAAAAAGGGGAAAGAAATGCTCTTATTGTATGGTGAGCTTCAAAGAACACACACTGAGGTTTTACTTCTTATAAAAGTTGATCCAGAAGTCACTTAGCTGTTGGAATGATCTGTTCTTTAGATTAAAATGAGATTTATTAACTTCTTGGAACAGTAGAAGAAGGGCTTGCTTTGAAGTTTTTTTCTTTTTTATATGTTGTCAAGAGTTAGACATCTTTTTAATATATGTTTCTTTGGGGGATATGGGTGCACAGGCCTGCACTTAGACACACATATTTGCCATGATAACTGTGTGTGGAGGTTAGAGGATAGCTTTCAGGGGTTGGCCCTCTTTTTGCCATATGGGTCAGGTCTTGCATCTTGGTGACAAGCACCTTAACCTGCTGAGCCATCTCACTGGCCCCGGCATTCTGAAATCTTGACTTCGTAAAGTTGTGAGTTATTTCATAAAAATGAATAGGCACAGATTTGTGGATGTAATGGCAATGTTGGCATATCTTTGGACTTTCAACATGTGTCCTACTGTTCTGCTATAGATTGTGATAGGCAATCTAGGAGTGTGCCAAAAACATCTGGTTTACAGACCTTCACAGACCAGCTGAGGATAACAAGGCTCAGAGCATTGATGCCCAACCTTGCCTTGTGCGAGGTCATCACAAGAAGCTGATAGGCTCTGCAGTACACTTAAGTTGACCCCTGTATGTAAGTAACAAGTGTGGCTGCTTTAGCGCCTTCCCTTGTGCTTGCTGTGGGACTACATACCCTTGCTGTTCTCCTGAGTCTACACAACCATTTCTGGGCCTAATAACTCGTGAGACCACCGATGTTCCTACTTCATTCTGGCCATACCTATCTAAGTGTGTGCTGCATGCCTGGCCCTGTGAGGTTCCTGTCTGCCCCCCCCCTTCCCTGGCTCTGTCAGTAACACATGACAGGAGTGCAGCAGTTACTGAGAAGTGATGTGCTCACAAGATGGTTAAGTTTTAATTTGAGATAAACTTGTGTTTGTCTTATATAACATTTCTAAATTTATATTGTAGGAATATAAATGAATATTAACTTAATCACTTTTTAAAACCTAAACATCCCATTTTTGACAATGCAGCAAAGTCAGAATGGCTTTAGGTTTAATTTTTTATTTCCATTTCTTTTACAGTGTTTATCTTTGATTGAAACACAGAGGTGTCCATATTTACAGGGCGTGGTGTTTGAATGTGTGTACGTGATTAGTGATGCTCACTCTGGGTAATTAGCATAACCAGCACATTAAACATTTGTCCTTTGTGTTAAGAGTGCTGAAGAAAGAAAAACAATACTTTTTTCATGTAACTGGGTGTGGCCGTTCCTTGGCATAGTCTCAGATTTCCTGTTTACAGGTTGACATCTTTGAATTTGTATTTTGGAGAACGTTGAAGAAATAAAACAGCTGATGACTTTAATAAAATAATGTGATTTCCTATTATTATGCTAGATAATATTTTCTGGAAAGCACAAGAAAGCAAGCCAGGTTTATATAAAGTAGAAAGAATGGAATGATTATTTTCATAGAGAATATGTCACTTTTCAGAAAAACTCAATTTTTTTGCCTATTTATATATATATATGAGATCTTTTTTTCCCTACATGCATGTCTGCATACTACATCCATGCAGTGTCTGAGGAGATCAAAGAAGACTCTGGATCACCTGGAACCAGACTTACAGGTTGTCAGGAGACATAATGGGACAAGCTAATAATTAGCAGGTGATCATCCTGAAATGCTTGCCTTGGATTATTATATAATCTGCGACTGAGTGAGCTCTCATCCAGAAAGGCTGAGAGAGACTTATTTTAGGAAAGATTCCTGCTATTAATATGCTTTTCCTATTATTATTATTAAACATATGTAACAATCACTAAGCAATATCACTCCCCTTTGGAGCACATCTCTGCAGACCCACGAAGATATACTGTCTTGTAGTGATGCTATATAGACAAATAGATGACCTCTTAAGTCTTAATGATGATCCTATAAGAATTTCTAAAATTGCTGGGCGGTGGTGGCACACGCCTTTAATCCCAGCACTTGGGAGGCAGAGGCAGGCAGATTTCTGAGTTTGAGGCCAGCCTAGTCTACAGAGTGAGTTCCAGGACAGCCAGGGCTACACAGATAAACCCTGTCTCGAAAAACCAAAAAAAAAAAAAAACCAAAAAAAAAAGAAAAAGAAAAAGAATTCCTAAAATTGTATTGATTATTAAGCTCTTTTATAGTGGAACTGGTATTAAGTCCCTTTCTGCAGTAGTCAAAACTGCAATGAAAACTCCACCAGTCTGCCGAGTGTCATCAGTTAATTGCCCTTAGAGAGTAACCAGACTTTCTCCTGCTCAGAACACATTTCAATGAGGTTGTGAAACAATTAACCAAAGGTCACTAAAAGGGAACTAATGATTCATTATAGGTGCTAGGACAGAAGAGAAAATATTGGCTGGGTTTATCTATACAAAACTTCACTAATTTCTTAGTTATAGTTTTAAACCTACAGATAATTACTCCTAATGGATATGCATGTAAATTTTCTGTGTTATAAACTTCAATTTATGATTTGAACTTTGGTGTGAACTTGTGATGAACTTTGTAACATGTGACCATGTACTCTAATTGATGTATAAGTTCTGAAGACAAAGCAGTAGTCGTACATGCAGAGGTTTGTTAGGAGCCGTCCTGTCTCCCCTTTCTTTTCTCCCTGCTTAGAATTTCTCCACTTAGAATTTTTCCTTTGTTAGAATTTTTTCCCTTTCCCTACTTAGGACCTTTCCACTTTTTCTCTTAGATAGCTTTTATAGGAAACTTTTCCTCTGCTGTCCCTGGGCTGAGATGTTAAGTGCCAGAAATGGCAGTTTCTGGACAGAGGATACCAGAGGGCAGGCCAGCTACAGTAGCCTAACCCTAGGTCTTACCCCTGCTGACGCTCTTCCCATCCCCCTCAGCTGCCTCAAGAAGAACCGACAAGGAGGAGAAGAAAGAAGACTTCCCTTCTCCTCTGACCAAGCGAGGGCTGGCTCCCGGCATTAAAATGGCGCCTGAACAGGGACATGAACCCTGAGTATTTCAGGATGATCACCTGCTAACTATTAGCTTGTCTCATTATGGCTCCGACAACAGGTGGTCATGAGCTGCCAGGTGGGTGCTATGAACTGAAGCTAGATCTTCAGCAGAACAACATGTACCCTTAACTACCTAGCCAACTCTCCAGTCTTGGAGAATTCAAATGTTAAGAAGGTCATTTGCACATGACTGTACATCACTGTGACAAGTGAGGAAAGCTTCCCATGTGTCTAGCTGATGTTATTATTTATTTATTTATTTTATTTGTAGCATTTTTTTGTCATGGTTCTTATGATATGGAGACACACAGGGGACCATATCCCTAGGGAATCTAGGGAATCTCTTCCCTATGATATAAGAAATATTAGACCCATTTATGGTGTAAACTGAGTGTCAGAATCATATTAAATGATGGAGATCAGGATGGTGGTATAAAACCCAACAGCAATATAAACATATACATTCACATGTGCACACACACGCACACACACACACACACACACACACATACACACACACTAACATATGAACTTACAGGCCCGGGTTTATATGTCACTTTCAGTCCAGTGCTGGGTGGGGGCTGCTTCACTCTAAACCTACCAGGAAGAAAAATGGAAGAAAATTTAAGTCGTAAGGAAAACAAAGCAACAAAGGAAGGAACTAGGGTGCTATAAAATCTGGAAGGTGTTAAACTAGGAGCCAGAGGGTCCAAACCATGTACAACCAACCAAAGACCTTAAGATTCCAAGGAGTCCATACCATGTGCAAACAACCAAAGGCCTTAAGATTACATTGAGAAAAGATTTTGGGATGCAACCATTTCATACCTGCCTTTCCAACAGTTCTCATCAGCATGAAATGGACTCCAGACTGTACTCCTACCCTTTGTTAGTTACTACTTGGTGACAGGCCCAGGCAGAGTGCTGCCAGTGTTTGGCTGGTGTGTGCCTTGCAGCATAGCTGTCAGAATTAATGTGAATGCTGACAGCCAGATCATGAGGCTATAGAACAATAGCACTTTGAAGAAACAGCAGAGTGTGGGAGCTGGGCTTCCCCCTGACTCTGTGTAGGGTTTGCATGCTTAGGGAGAAGAGAGACTCAAGGAGATCTGAAAATGCTGAGGGGCTTAAGAAGTCCTGTGCTTACTCTTGCTGCTCCTGGATCTCTTTTCCTGTCTGTGCTTTGTAGATTCTGCCTGGGGATGAAAGGCCTCGAGGACTCCGAAAAGGAGAGCCTGCTCTCACACTGATCCCTCTCCTACCATTTGCTTGGCTGTCTAACCATCATAGCGGGACAAGCAGCAGGGTACAATCTCTAAAGCTGAACCTTGTGCCAGAGAGACAGGGTCTACATAGATAGAGTCTACTAGCTTAGGGATAATTCTCTATCTCCTCTCACGCACTTCACTGGTAACAAACTGGAAAGAAAAAAAAAATGTCTTAGGTGGTAGCCTGAGTCTCCTCATCATGCTATTTCTTGAGGAGCCAACATCCCTAAAGGTGGGGTTCACCACAACTAAAGGGTGATAGTAACCTTCCAAATTGGATGCTTCTGCCATTTTTCTGTATTTCATTTCCATTCCCAAATCATAAACATTTTCAAAGGGTTTGTCATTATATAAGAACTCTGCAACTGTGATATTTATTGCATTTCGATGGAAACCTTTCCACCATACACAGTGTGCTTTAGCTCAGTTCAGAACAGAACTGAGGACACTGTAATTCTGAGTAGCCTTGACATAGATTTATAGTATATTGATCCAATAAAAATGAGTGAACTCCCAGTGTGACTCTAGTGACCACAACAAAGTGAAGTCCTTCAGCATGGTAGAGCCAGCAATAACCTGGTTGGTATTTGAAAAGCCTGAGCCCTATCCTCATGCTAGCCTGCAAGACCTTGAAACAGATTATTTGGTTTCATTATATATAAGTTGTCAGAAAGCTAAAAGATTCCATCAGTTTGGGTCTAGAAAAATATCAAGTATGTTTTCAGACCCATACATAAACTGAACTGTGGGCTAAGATGCTTATGAATAATAAGTTAGGTCTTCATAGCTAAAATCACCATTGTGCTTCAGTTATCCTTTTTGTCTCAGGCAGAAATAATGTGATTAAAAATAGTGTGATTTCAAAATCAAAGACAAAATGAAATTTAAAAGAAAGGAAGACACAAACATCAGGCCACAACTGAGAGAATCTCTAGAAATTATCATCTGTTTTACTAGCAGAAAGCTTGTGGGCCAAGAAGAAAGAGGGACTATATTCAAACTGCTGAAAGGAAATATCTACCCAGCAAGGCTATCCTTCAGAAAGAATTGATTTTATAAACCAGCAAAAGCCGAGGAAATCCATTACTACTGAACTCGTCTTACAAGTGCATGAGTACAACTTAATGAGGTTCTTCAAGGAGAAACAAAAGGATGGAAATTACCATCATGAATATGTATGTAACTATAAAACTTATTGGAAAGGGAAATGCATAATTGAATTGGAACACTCTAGTACTGTAATATTGTTAACTGTACATATTCATCATGGTCATAGCATGCATATCTTTGTCATGAAGTTTAAAGCCAAAGTGATCAAAAATATAGAGACAATAACTAAATATACCATATAAAATGACACAAATTCTGACATCATATACGTAGATTGTGTGAAAGGCAAAGTCCCACATACATACATAGCGGAAGCTTAACTTATAAGATGTTTGATGAAATGGGTTGTGGTGGTGCACTCCTTTAATTACAGTACACAGAGGAAGAGCTCTGAGAATTAAAGAAAAGTCTGGTCTACATTTCCAGATCCAGGCCAGTAAAGGTACATAGTGAGATATGGCCTCAAACAAACAAACAAACAAACAAACAAAGTTTCCTCCAATAGCATTAGAGCCTGTGCTGAGGTGGCTAACGTTGGGCCTCTATGGCTCTGGCAGGACAAGAGCATGGCAGCTTCTGTTGAAGCCTGGAGCAGCCACCAGAGGACTAGCCCTGCTTCCAGAGTGTTTATGGGGCTTGAGGGTTTCTGCACAGACTATCTTTCCAAGGTGCCTTTCCAAATCCTTGTTTCGAGGAAGATTCCAGACATTCAGATCAAAATCCAGGTCCAGCTCTCAATCTAGGTTTAGGTCCAGAAGTTTTCTATGGTACTATACAAGGTCACAATCTTGGTCCTGCTCCCAGAGATGATCCAGGAGCAGGTCTTACAGCCATGATTATCAAAGTTGTTCTGGATGGCACAGCCACTCCCCCAATGCCTTTGCAAATGCATCTTGTTGGCTATCAGGGAAAAGTGTAACTGCAGCTACAATCTTGGAATGTTTGGGTTGAGCATGTATACCACAGAAGGAGATCTAAGGGAAGCCTTCTCTAAATATGGCGCCATTTGCCTTTGTGTTTACTGTGTATGGACAGGACAGGCTTTTGAGAGGACTTGTGTCTGTAGATGATGCCAAGGAAGCTAAAGAGTGTGCCAAAGGAATGGAGCTTGATGGATGCGGTATGAGTTTATTTCTCTTTAACAAAGACACACATAGCCCAACACCAGGAATTTTGGAGAGACCCCCTTTTGCCATGTGGTTGCATTTGAAAGCTTCAATCTTCACAGAACCCTAGGATTTAGTAGAAAAACCTCTTAAATGAACTTTTGTACAATTGAAACATCTCAGTTATCAAAAATTGGACTGTATCTCCTTATCGCTGGCTGATAAACTCTGGAGGATTGTGACTTACTTTGTTTCCATTTCCTTCAGCTTTGTGCAGTTCTCTTGTGCCTGTATCTTTATTTTCTGTTTACAAGTCAATTTTAAGGGGAAGGGTCGGATCTTAAGACCTTGTTTATTGTAGATACTTTTTCTCTCCTGTTGTAGAAAGCATGGGTTGTACATTTGAGTGAAAAAGGCACTCCATTATTCACCAAAGGTGTATGGTTTGCATTTGTTTATAAATGTATTACTTTAGTACTATAAATTTGGGCATAATTTTTGACTTTATTAGTGTTGCTATTGCTGGCATCTATCTCCTCCTCTGTCATCTTTTAATCCCCATAAATGTGCAATGTGGGGTGCATAGGTCACAGACCAAACAAGACCACCAGCATGTTCTTCTCCATACTCTGGGAACAACATACACTGTTTCATACACATTGATCCCTCTAGTGTTAGTTTTTAAAATTTTTTAAAATTTCATTTTAAAATTCAGCATTTTGCTTTACCCTTCCAGACAAAATCCGTTGAGAGTCACCATTGTATCTCAATGAGCTCTCCCTTATTTGCCTATCTTTGTATGTATTTTGTATACTAGATTGTCCAGGAAGTATTCTAGAAGAGATTAATGGTTTGCATTCAGAATGATGTAGTTTGTCCAAATTATTTCACCTTTAAAACTGAAATGAGTTCATCTCATTTTTTTTTTTCTGGATGATTTGAAATTGTAAGATTTGTCTAGCTAATAAATCTACTTAATAAATTTTTGCAGATCAAAAAAGAAAAAAATACATGAAAGCATACTTTTCTAAAATACTTAATTTTGGACAAAGTTCTGAACTACACATGTGTAGAAGGAAAACAGTGTGTCAGTTCCCACTGCTGGGATTCTCACAGAGGGGGGGATCTGATGATGGGATATTGCAGCAGAACATACTGAAAAAGTGGTAGAGGAGGCAGTAGACGGGGAACTGCATAGACAGGGGCTACTGTACGGAACAGCATAGGCTCAGGATGCCCACAACCAAGGTCTCAGCACAAAGGAGACTTATTTGTCACAGAGGGACAGTGGGCAAGGAATATAAGTCAAGACAGGAGGTTGAGGACAAGAAAGAATGGTAAGGGAACAGGAGAGAGGGAAGAGAGGTACTTGTCACTAGAGGGGGACAAAGGACTGCATCTAGAAAGAGAAGAAACAGACAGATGTGTCCCATAGGCAAATGGTGGTTTATAAAGGTAAAAAGGGAAACCTTGTGTTAGGATGAGGTGTTTAATTTTAATTGGGCATGTTAATTAGATGAGCCAAAGGGGGCTTTTGATTGCTGGACTTGAATACTTTGATAGCTGAACCTTGGTAGTCAGCCTCAGGGTGAAGTGGTCAAATAAGGGAACAGACTTTGATGGCTAACTTTAGGAATATAGTCTGATGGTTTTTAGCAAGGCAGAGGGACTGGGGGAAAATGGCAAGGCCTGCTAAGAGCCATATTTGCCATGCTCAAGCTGGCCAGAGTTTTTTCAGACACTTTCTCTGGACCACAGTAGTGGAGGCTTGGGTCCCATTCCTGATCATGCTATTCACCTCATCTCTACTAAAGCATGACGTTAAAGACTTTCGGGAACCCATCATGGAGCTGGAGTATTGTCTGTGAATGTTATTTTCTATCAGTTCCTAGTAAACTAAAGAGTGCAGAGTGAAGTCAGGTGACTTTCATACCTTTGAGAATGACTACATTTGGTGGAGTTGACACGCTGTTTTCATTCTACACTTGTGTAGTTCAAAACTTTGTTCAAAATTAAGTGTTTTAGAAAAGTATGCTTTGCCTTGTAAAAAAAAGTAATTTTTTTTTACAGTCCAAATTTTGACAACTGAGATACTTCTATTGTACAAAACAAT